CCACCTTCAAGCGCCTGTAACAAAGAACCTAGAGGGGCTTAGCTCTGAAGAAAGGAAAGGCTGTAAACTGCATCGAGTGATCTTCAAGATTACTCTTTCAGTTCAAAAACTCATAGAAAAGTGGAACCCTCCGCTGAAATCGAACTACAAACACGAGTTCATGACCTTTATCAAGTTTTATACTGGCCGATACTACTACGCCCTATATCACCTACCCAACACAACTCGGTATATACGAAAACACACATAAGGTCCCTGACCCACGGCAGGTCAAAGTCAGGCCATGCATTGAGCGAAGAGTTTCTTTGGCACCGTTCCCTCTGATGCAACAACAGAGCACAGTTCGCTACATGAAACCATACATCTCTGAGATGCTTTCTTAAGCAGCACATCAAATGAACTAGGAAACTCCATTGACTCAGAATCAGTTATGAACATCAGGTAAGGTCAAAGCCAATCCTTTTTGCTTAGTGTACGGGGTGATTTCTGGTGCTTATTTCACATTTTATATGAGCACGAAGTGCACTATGCAGCTTTTATGAACTTCGTTAGCATGCGTCGGGATGTCCGGTTAAAAACCCTTTGCTCGGGTGGGGGGGGGGGGGGGGAGAGAATCAGTTTGACATCATTGACCCCGCTGAGGTCTCGGGAACTAAGAAATCAAAAGACATCAAATTTACGGGGTGTGTTGACCTGTACGTAAAATCACTTGTGTCAAAGTTTGAGGTTTCTAGGTCAAGACCTTCGGGTTAAGAAGGTCAAACGAGGTCAAATTCCAGGTTGGTCTCTAAAGTGCTCCCAGAACCTAGATGACCGTTTCTAAGAAAAGGTCACTTGCTCATAAGGTCGGTGACCTTGTTTGACATTTTAAAGGTCATGGTCAGAATAGGCCAAGGACCAAAATCATACATGACTGCTCTGAGTTTTGTACTTGAATAAACGACAGAGATTACGTTAAGCAGTATGTTTCTAAAAGCAAAATGTTGACCTGGGTCATTTTAAATCAATGAGCTATTCTTAACTCTAAGAAGTCCATGGATGATGCATGACGCGGTTCCTGCTATCAATAAATTCGAAGTGGCCACCAGAAACTGTCCCATACAGCAAGCCCTAGAGTAATAAGACAAGTTGGTTTTGACTTAGAGCTGTCCTTCATACCTGACCTTATGTGAACGTAATTTGCTCATTTAATATTGGTATTGCCTAAGAAAACATCTCAGAGATGTGTGACTTCGCCTAACAATTCGCTGTTGCACCAGATAAAACGATTCCCTAGAAATTCACTTCGCTATAACCATGGCCTTAATTTGACTCGCCGTAGGTCAGCGACCATACAAGGTACGCCTAAATTTGTCTATGCCAAACGATCCGCTATTCAATTGGCAACAGCTATGCAAGGTTTGGCGCGGCATCGCCGCACTGCTCGAAAACCATTCTGGAAAAACCCTCGGGAGAAGGTCAATTTGCCCCCCCCCCCTGCCCAAGCGCGTGTTAAGGTCAGAATAGGTTGTTGACTTGAGATGACCCTGGTGAGAAACCTTCCGCCAAGCATAAGACTTGACGTCTATTCAAATGCAAGAACCAAAGCAGCTATGTATGATTTTGGTGAACACAACTTTTTAAAGGCAAAGCAGCTTCGCCGATCCTTAATAAGCACCGGCGACCTTTGCATAGAACATATATCTATGTTCACGGTGGATGCATGAGAAGGTCTGTAGGTCCGTTGGACACCAAGCTGAAGTCTGATCTTGTTTTACAACATTTTACCAGACTGCCACGACCTGGAAACCGCGCATTTTGACGCAAGTGAGATAACGTCAAGGGCAACACGCTGTGTAACTTTGGTGTCTCTAGCTCTTTGTTTTTAAGATCTTAGGGGCACCAAATTGGCGCCCTTCATATCTAAACAGAGGGTATTCAACTGGCTACTCGGGCGTTTGTTAACATTGTTTTTCGCTATTTTGATGCATCCTTTTGCGCAAACGGATTTCCATGCACTTCCTCGTGCGCAGGGGCCCAAAATGCTTCGAATTACAGGTGTGTTCTTTTAAGGCATTGATATGTTTGTTTTGTGCATTGAGCTTCAAGTTCACGTGGCCGACGCAAGTAATGCCGGTGCAAGGCCTTTTTTAAAAAGTATATTCATGCATTGCAATGCCTGACGTTTGATAGGAATCCAACATAATCCCAGTTCAGGTTTGTAAATGGTTCAGTCCGTCTCCGACCCTTCATCTTGATATGTTCAAGCTGAATATGATTGCGGGTACATAGTCAATCAACATGACTATTTCTAGTCAAATTCGCTAGATTCAGCTGTCATTAGATTCCTTACAAGATTCGTCCCATCCTCTGTTATTACTTAACAATGAACGCAGCCATGATTTCCTTAACACTGTTAGCCAGAACTTAGTCAGCACCCATCAGAGGCGGACAAAGGTGAGCGTCTATGGTGCCCAAATAAAAATGCGGGCATTATGAGAACGCGGGGGGGGACACGTGCTGCGCCTCTGCACCGAACCTTTGGAGCAGCTTCTACCACCGGCTGCGGGCTATTCCTTCCAGTCGGAAGAGCGAACCGCTAAAGCCATACAAACCCACCTTGCCACTTGTGGGTGAATGGGAGATCAGGCACATAAGCAAACTGAGATGTCAAGACGAGCTTTTTCGCAATGCACACCCGAGCCTACTGAAACGCCGTACAAGAAATGCTTAATGAGGGCTTGCAGTTGTTGCAATTTAGTTGCCTTGCAAAGGTTCTTGCTGGAGTCCACTCTAGGTCGGGCTATCACAAGCGAAAATCTTAATTGTGAGCTCGGATGAGCCACTGACAAAGCACGCCGATTCAGTCCGCTACCACCTTTCATGGAATATAGACGTCTAACATAAGGCTGGGGCTCGCGACGTCAGCGTCATTTAGTCGTAGCTTAACTTTTACAGCCTGAAGACAGATGGCAGTGTATCACAGTGCTGCGGTCACCCCTCCCGGTGTTAATTTTTTCAAAACGTTTGGTGGGCCAAAGTCGTGTAGGTCGGGCACTGTGGACTTGTTCCCAACACTTCTCGGATTCCTCCACTTACATTCTGGTTATCCACTTATCTGGTTATCCACTTATCTGGTTATCCACCTTCGTGTGTGGGCATGTGTGGGTGTGTTTGTGAGTGTGTGTGGGGGGGGGGGGGGCGGGGGAGAGTTTGATCGGTTACAGTGCTACGGTACACTTCAGTGAAACATCGTCTGCATGATCCGACCCTCTTATCCTCTATCTTGCTTCACGATGCATCCTTGCGACACCCGGCTTGTTCGGGGAGGCTGCGTGTGTCAGCCACGACTGGGCCGCAAGCCCGTGGGAAGAGGGACCTCAATCGGGAAGCCAGCGCACATGCGCGGGCTAAAGGTCGGCGGTTGGCCCCCAGGCGCATACAAGCCTGCCCCACCGTAGACCAGTTCCCCCATCTCATAGCCCTGAAATGGCCATTTGTGGTCGAAAGGGCTCAAATCCAGACACTTAAACCAAACAACCAATCGCCTTCAGATTGGCAACGAGCCATGTGCGGTATACTCAGCTTGAATCAAAAGTTGTTGTCGACACTGAATGACGGTGAAGTGAGTCCCGATCAAAATCGTCCCTCCAATTCACAGAGGGCGGCTCTCTGCTCGAGTCGGAGCAGACGTACCCTGGCCCTCTTTTTTGAGATCGGGTTACTCACGCACGTTGCTTTGTGTTTGAAAATGGAATGCGGGCGAAGATAGGCGCCAATTGAGAAGCAATCCAACGCCACGGTAGCGATCGACTCCTACTGTCTCCCACCTTATCTCTTGTCCACTATCTTTCATGCCGTGAAGCAGGGCTCTGTCCTGTGAGAACGCAGTGGAATGACGTTACACTAGTTCCCTGAAAGGCAGTTTTTCGGTCGAAAGGAAACGCAAGGGAGAGCGCTTTTTCCTCGATGTAGCCTTACAGAATCAGGGGAAATCCGCAACTGCGATCTTTTTTCAAAAATTGCTTGACGAAAGCGAACATTTTGCGCAGCAAACAGCTTAATGCATACAAAAACCGGCTTTTATGCAGCGAGTAACTATACATAAAGTAGCGTAGACATGTTTCAGCAAAACTCTCCTCATTCTGCCAGCGATATTCGTCATTCCCCTCGTTCGTTCCTACAATAACAGATCATATGTGATGGAGTGCTATCAATGATGTGGCTGGTGAACCCGTCTTGACCTCAGCAACTTCTGAAATGTGCTGACCTAATATTATTTTTCGTGAAATGTATTTGGATCGGTGGCGATATTTGAGTTTGTGGATTGTTTACCATCATCACCCGCTGACGACACTTTGCATGCCGCCGTTACAACCCCTGCCGTGCTGGGAGCAGAGGCACCGATTTCCAGACATTCCTATCCAATATCCGATCCCAAACCCAAAGGATGGACTAGTACCAACTTTTCGCCCCACAAGTGTCAAAAGTCAGGATGTCCATCATTTTCAAATACGTTATATCAAATCACTTTTAAGTATAGCCTGCAGTCCCAGCCACTTCTGGTATCGCTGCATTCCCTCACCCTAACCGAATGAAAAATAAGACAATAATTGTTGGTATGTGATGCACTTAATGCGTGCCAATTTGTGACACGGTAGGATGATATCAGCTTTCCAAAAAATCCAGAGATTCCTGCTCCTGCTCGTTGAATTTCTAACCTGGACTTTGGAAAGTTCTGAGAGTCTAAAATCTTTTAATCAAGTGGGCACCTCGACCTGGAAACATGCGGGGGAGGGGGATGCACGGAGCTCGGACGATCTTGCGGGTAACAATTAGCCAGCGGCAAGCGCTTTCAAGGTCGCCGTCGGCAGACGGGGCAGGGAGAGGTTGGCACGGCGGGGGAACCTGACCTCGCAGCCTCGCCGCTACCGCCGCTTATAAGGCCCGGAGCTGGAGCTCTCAGCATCAGTCGCTTGCTGCAGCCGACCGAGCACCACAGATCTGAGCACCACAGAGCCATGCAGCTGGTGAGTGGTGTATGCTGTAGTCGCCTGAACAGCGGCCATGTACCGGGCGGCTGAACGAGAAGATAAACAGGCAGACGTGGCCTTAAGCTGGCCACAGGAAAATTTTCTACTCGTAGTGTTAAATGCATCTTCGGGATGAGGCGCTTCATGATCGTTGCAATAATATATGGAGCCTAGGGCTTCCAGTTGGTTGTTTTGTTTTCTTCGGCTGCGGGTTCAGGGAAACGTTCCGGGATGTCAAAATGGTTGAGAACATTCTTGCAATGTCAAGTAAATAGCCAATGAAAAGACATGTTTTGGGGATTAAAACGGGCTAGAAGCAATTGCAACATTTGTTCATAAGTATGGATAAATCTGCTTTACTTGATTCACTGAATGCCACTGTCTTGTCAAACTAGTGCACATATCTCCACGAATGACGATAGCTAACGCCCGGCCTTCCCGCCAGTTGGTCTTCGCTACACTGGTGGCTGCGGCTGCGGCTGCTCCGCAAGGCTACAATGCTAATCAGTTTGTGAGGTCTGGACTGCCCGAGATCCGCATTCTCAGCCAGAGGTTTGATCAGGACCCCAACACTGGAAACTACGAATACAGCTACGAGCAGGACAACGGACAGGCGGTAAGTTTTTGAGGATTTTATTTATACTCATTTCACATGATGACACTGGATGCCTGATCTGGTGAACTGTTGACACTTCATGACTAACTGCTTTGGATTAGCGAAGGAGTTATCCGTATACATTGCCAGAAATGCACTTGGTAGCCAGGAGGGCAACGTAAGTCGCAACCAAACCGAGTGCGGTTGGTCTAAATCTTGCATCCGGATTCTCTCGTCCGCCTTGGATGGGGTGCTCAAACCCGGCTCCAAATAGGTCAGCATTTCAGCCCCGTTTAAAGATAGGTTCAACGAATAGAGATCGCGAACTTAGCATGACTACGTGCCGGACCTGCATTTGTTGCTACAGTACTTCAGGCTGCTAAATTTATGGGCAAGAGGATACAACCACTGGCATTGTTAATGGGCGATTAAATCCCGCTTCACATGCAAAAGAAAATCTGTTCTAATTTTATTGCGTAAGTTTTCGTCCAGCTCAAGCGTTAGTAACGCAGCTCATGGTCGTAGACATCAGCATTCACTGATAGCATGTCATATGCGTTCTGCCTTTGTAGGTGGCTGAGACAGGTCAGGTGTACCCTGGACCTGTGCCAGAGACAGGCAGCCTCACCCAGCAGGGCAACTACCAGTTCGTGGGCGATGACGGCAACACCTACCAAGTCAGCTACGTGGCCGACGAGGGAGGCTACCAGCCGCAGGGCGCCCACCTGCCGGTGGCGCCCGCCCAGATCCCGGAGTATGAACAGCTGAGGATTGAACACCCCGAGCTGTTCTGGGCAGAGCAGAGGCAATACGTCTAGGAGTATCAGTCGTTCAGACCCTCCGATCTTAACATCGCTACATTTAAATGCGTTTAATGCCGACCACGCGAGCAAGTTCCGGATTTGCCAAGAAATGAGATGATGAAATTTATATGCTTGTCCTTTTTATGCATTCGTGCTGTTCTCTTTCCTGAGCTCGAACTGTACGCCTGCACGTGCCGTTTTTTGTCTGCTCACATGCCTCCTATGAGTACTGTGTAATGACATTGAGCAAAGTACGTTAATCTTTATCAATACACTCGTGTAAATGCGTTGTGTTGTGTTTTTTATGGCAATCGTGAGTTCGGTATTCAAATTGCATCACAGCAACTTATTTTAGAAGGGAATTAAGATGATCTTGGAATGATTATAGACGTTATACTCGCTAAGTAAGTTGCATGTGTGATTTTTTTAAGCTTCACGTTTTAGAATTTTAACTTTCTCAAACGTTTTTTTTCAGAGCTTTCCAGATGCAGCAAAAAAAAAACAGCGTCCACCGACTTTGTGCCAAATGAAGTATAGCTTAGATTACTTACACAACGAGCTCTTAACGTGTACAAAAACCATTAGAAAACAAAGTAAACTACCACGGAAGAGAAACGGAAAGGTTTGAGGTTGCTGAAAAAGAGAGAGGGCACAATTTGGAAACCAAACCATAAATATAGGTGGTTGGTTATTTCGCGATTGCCTGCGATTTCTTGTCATTTTGTTCGGTTAAAGTGTTGGAAATGTGTGCCATTTGATCACGCAAGGCAATAGTATAGAAACAATAAGGTAGAACGCTCCGGTCTCTATAAATGAACCTATGGCTTTGGAAAGCCGCGAATTCGGCAACATACTCGTCCTTAATTGTCAGAGGGTTTCATGTCGTCACAGAATTAAACCCCGGTTGCCATGGCAGTAAACCCAAGATTCCGCATTGTGGTAGTGTTTTAAAGAACTGGGTCTGGGCTGTGTTGCGCCATATTCTAGGATCCTGAGGTTGGAAAACGGGCAAATGTAAGCCGGTATACACATGTAACCTACAATTATATATTGGAAAGCACTAACTATGCTTAAATGTTGATGTTCAGGACAAATGGTTTTCATGTAATAGGCTCATCATTTCTTAACAACCAATCTGACGCGGCGAGACAAATCACCATGACGTCAACAAGATCTGCATATGAAGCAAATACCATGGCGTGAAGAGAGGTCAGAGACAGAAATAAACAGGAAAATGAGTGAAATGTTATGCTTCCAACAGGTTAACCTGTGCTGACATATGCAGTAATGAACCACCAAGGCTAATGGAAGTTATCATCTGCAATATCGACGCCCAGTGTGTGGGTCCAGCGCGGGGTGTAGCTGCATGATATGCAAGCATGTCAATGCAATTAAAGTTCATACGCTTGTTCACAAATTCGCTGGTGCATGCAAAAGGCAGTAAACTGTAACTGTTGAATTTACCATGCAATGCTCTCCTGAAATTAAAACTAATTTCAGAAGGTTGACGTCTTAACAAATCGCAACACATGTAGGTCAAATAAAGGGTTGTTCTCTTCTCCTTTACCTGGTATCCATCTTGTTTGTGGTGTGCCAATTTTCTTGTCCCAATGTGGAGTAGTTCTGGCCCATGCCAGACTACTATGAGCCTAAAAACCCCAAATGTTGCACCACTATTACGATGTTTGCATGGTACTACAGCGCAAGACATGTTGCAAAAGTGGTAATATTTGAAATCTGTGCGAATGCTTTCTTTTCGTTTGCATATTTTTCCTTAGAATCAGAGCCCACAAGCAAGAATTATTTCATCTGATGTCGGCAAAAGATAAATCTGCTTGACATGTTGACAAACATGATCGCATACGACAAACTAAAATATCACGTTTGACATTGTCCCTGAACTTATACCCGTATCTGCCCTTAGCAGACAGGTGCCTAGCTTTCAATATTGGTTTCTGGAACTCGTTTCCGCTCATGAAAACGAGGACCCAGATCCCTCGTTTCGGCTAGCTATCATTATCACTGGTCCCTGGTTATGGGATGACTTGGGTTATGTTGCAAACACCAGGCCTTGGTCCCTGGCTCTCACTGACTGTTCCCAAACTCAACATACGATTACGAGTCCTTGTTAGTTCGTCGCAAACACCACACGCTCGTTCTCGACTTGATTAATTCACGCACAAACCGTTTGATCCCGACTCCCGTCCGTCACTGGCTCCTTCGTTCACACCAGCACGGGTTGTCATTTGACAACATTCTGTTATTTAGATGATGTCTGAGATCAAATATATCTTACATGTGTGCTTTAATGATTGCATGTGCTCACAGCATAACGTAAGTTCATCAAGTGAATACGTATTGGTTTCTAACAATATTTTCACGTGAGATCCTGGTTCTTGTTGGTGTCTTTGACTTCATGATGCATCTTGGTTGTTGCTGAATCCCAGTGATATTCTTAGGCTGGCTCTAGACTCTGCGGGATCTCTGGCCATGGCTATAGCCATTGGCTATACATTTGCGACTGATGAATCTAGCGACAAAATGCGAGCCGGCTCTTGTTTCTTGGACCCCTCTGCACACTTCAGGCCGTGTTTTGAATTCTTGTTAGATCTGTTGAATCACACCAACAGCTTTGTGGTCAGCGAGTGGACAGCAATACGACCAGAGGGTTGGCGAGCAGACCTGTCGGCAGGTCGGTCGATGATCACTCTCGCTTGCGCCGATGCCAAGAGGACATCACTTCGGAATCGAAGAGCAGCTCCTGCAGGCCGTCGCCAGTGACCAGCGACAGGCGCGGGGCCGCGTCCAGAGCTAGGATGTCCCGCCGCGTAGGATGAGCTTGACTGTCACGTCGTCCGGCGCCGTGACCAGCGCCAGAAACATGAAGCCGGCTGGACGATCTTGTGTGACCTATGGACACCCGTAGCTCGGCCCGTGCCGCCGACAGAGCCGCCGACGCGGCTCTGGGATTGTAACGCCTTTGACGAGAGCAGATGGACGGCGTACATCCGCGAGCACAAAGCCAGGCAGGTCCGCGGCCAGCAGTATGCCACTCAGTGCCACACGGATTGTTACTCGCGCTCGGTGAACAGCTCTGTCGATTTATGATATCCAGTATATTGAAAATAAAATCATATTACCAAGGTAGCTTGACTGGCGTTCAGTCGTATTTCATATTCTATCACATGCTTTGACATCTAAAACCCAACTAAAATGATGCTTGACACCAGGCAGCACACAGATCACTGACACAATAATATATCCAGGCTAGGTCCACTAAGGGACCTCCCTTGCGCCACCCACCACCAGGTGGCCGGTCGCCAGCCCGCGGCCGCCCGCCTGGCGATGCAGCGACAAAGTGCGCCCGAGCAGGTGTCGAAACGGCTGGCGGCCGGTCGGTGGATAGTTGTCAAGTCCAACAACGGACCTCCCGGAGACTTGGATCCCTTAGTCTGGTGTAAACGTAGTACGTGAGAGTGTGCGGTAAAAAGGAAAGCTGTAATGCAGCGGCAAAGTGCACCCGAGCAGGCGCCGAAACGGCTGGCGGCCGGTCGGTGGATAATTGTCAAGTCCAACAACGGACCTCCCGGGGACTTGGATCCCTCAATCTGGTTTAAACGTAATACGTGAGAACGTGTGGTAAAAAAGCTGTAGCGATCGTCTCATCTGTTTCCGGGACCACTCTAACCCGTTAGGAGACACCATTTCGGGTGGATTGCTCCAAATCCAGTAAGGGACCTTCCTCCTGTGTAGGTCTCAGACCGGCCAAAACGGCACAAACATGGCACGTGTGCACGCAGGTGACACAGAGACATGCTTCGACTATTCTACCACATTGGGGATTAAATATGCTTGACTTAAAAGAGAAAACACGGCATTTGCAAGAGGGTATACAGAAGATAAGAACCCAACCTAACCCAGCCTAGCCTAACCTAGCCTAGCCTAGTTGAGCCTAGCCCGACCTAAACTAACCTAACCTAACCTGGCCTGGCCTGGCCGGGCTTGGCCTAGCATAGCCTAGCTTGGCCTAGCCTAGCCTAGCCTAGCTTGGCCTAGTCTAGCCTAGCCTAGCCTAGCCTAACTTGGCCTAGCCTAGTCTAGCAAAGCCGAAGCCAAGGCCACAGCCAAAACCAAAGCCAAAGCCAAAGTCAAAGCCAAAGCCAAAGCCCAAGCCTTAGCCTCAGCCTCACCTCGCCTCACCTTGCGCTGCCCTAACTAACCTAACCTAATCTAACCAAACCTAACCTAACTCATCCTAATCTTACCTAAGCTGTCCTAACCTAACCTAACCTTACCCAAACCTAACCTAACCAAACCAAGCCAAACCTAACCAAACCAAATCAAACCAAACCTAACCTAACCTAACCTCACTCAACTCACTTCATCACACACGTACCATGTTTGCCCCGTTTTGGCCGGTCTGAGACCTTAACTGAAACGTGGTCCTTTACTGGACTTAAAGCAATCCACTCGAAATGGCGTCTCCTAACGCGTGAGAGTGGTCCCGGAAGGCGATGAGACGGTCGTCACAGCTTTCCTTTTCACCACACATCCCCACGTTCTATGTCTGCACCAGATTGGGGGTCAAAGTCCCCGGGGGTCCCTTGTTAGACCTGGCAATTATCGACCCCCCGGCCGCCAGCCGCTTCCGTGCCTGCTCGGGTGCACTTTGCCGCCATACCGCCAGGCGGGCGGGCGCGAGCTGCCGGCCGGCCACCTAGTGGTAGAAGACGCGAAGAAGATCCCCTAGTGAAACTAGCCTAATGTAGCTGTATGCGAGGTTCCCACAGTAAGAGATATCCAAGAACATCCTGCCCAGAATGACCGTGGTAATACCAGCGATGCCAGCCCAAGTAGTACGTCGAACCTAATGAATGTGGCCCTGAACCAAAGTTCAACTTTAAAGAAAACGCGGTAGATCCTGTCTTGCCGACCTTGACGTTGAAAGGGCTGAACTTCTCTGATACTGCGTACCGGTCCAAGATTTTGTAGTCTACCTTTTTTAATGTGATCTTCCATACTGATATGCCTCCGGTAATCGGGCGCAGCAGTTCGAGATGCTGTGCTCATTGTGCTCAGGAGATTTAACTGCTTATATATACAAAGTTTCTGGCCAATTTGAGGGGTCCACAGAATCCCGAATATGGACCTGAATCTGAATGTAAACGTGGTGCCAACTTGACGAATGCGCGTCTGTATCAAGCTTTGCTTTGCTGTGGTGTTTACGTAAGTTCCGCTGTTCCGGTGTCTCGCCTCCGGCTCACTAGTGCACACGGTACGTTCAAAGTCACTTCTGTATTTGGCACTCACCACAAGCACTCCATAAAGTCCGTCCCGCCGGCGCGTCCGTCCTCGCGCCGGCGGCTCCCCAAGTTTTTTCTCGTTACTCTGTCCTCTCCTGAACCCCGCAGCCGCGTCCCCCACACTGGCCTCTAAGCGGCGCGCACCAAACTACGCAAACATTCACCTGTTAGCACGTAGATGTTTCTGACACCTTACACTACACCCTTCTTAAAAGAAGAATACTTTCGCAGTTGAATTATTCAGCTATGACATAATAAATAAAGCCATGGTATCATGAACACAGATCTCACGGAACAAACATAACGCACACAGCAAGCGAGGCCCTTAAACGATATATTTCACGTCATGGCAACTAACCCAAAGAACATGTTAGCACAAACAATGCAAATACACTATGAATCCATGTTTTGCATCCAGCTATCGCAATCATGCGCTAAATCGATCTGGAGGCCGTCCGACTCGGGCGCTCCGCTGTTCGCGATGACCGTTTGACGACGGCTGTTCTACAGACACTGGGATCCGGGACCTGGACGCATTCGAATAGGAACTCGGACTTGGGGGTGATTCATTGGTTCGCGCCAGGTTACGGAAGGACAGTGGTGCCGTGGGCCGCGGGGTACGTGACCTGTGCGCCGGGATAGGGCAGGGGGTCGGTATCGCTGATCTTGCCGGCTAGTCAGGCAGGTCCGTATCTCCGTCACTTTCGACGAATGCTGGACCCACAAAAGACTTGTCATCAGCATAACCTTCAATGACGCGTTCCGCCCCTAAGCGGTACCTACTAGTCCTGCCGTACTACCACGCCGCAGACCGACAGACCCTCCCGGCCGGCTGCGCCTCCCACTCCGTCTTTGTCTGGATGGGTCGGCTCCCTTTGCTCACTCGTGGCCCGCTGTACCTGACCTACGGAGGGCGGCGGCCCAGCCGGGGTTGTTCTCGCGCAGTCCGGAGCCTGAGTTCGCTGATGGGCCGGCGCCGACTGGGCTGGCGACGGAAACACGAGGCGGCAGGACGTGTAATCCATCAGACAGCGAGACCGTCGGAAAAAGTCCCGAACCAAAAACGGCTCATTCTTGGTGTTGCCACTAGGATCAGAGCCGCGAAAGCATTGAGGTCAGCGATAAACGCGGGCACCGATTGAACGACACCACTGAATTCGAGAACTGGGATTTGGATGCTGAAAGATGCCATGTTGGATCGCAACAAAGCAATACAGGGTTTTTTCGTGACCGATTTTAGACAAATACGTACGACCTACTTAAAATAAAGCCGTAACACCGGCCAAACAATCACAAGACATTTGAAAGTCCAAACATAAGAACACGACAGTTGTACGATTAATTCATGTCGCTCAAAACTGACGAATGCAAGACCTCACACCCACGACTGCTGGGGCCGTTCCGTGCGCAGTGGAGGGGGTGTGGATCTTGGGAGCTGCCGTCGGGCCCTGGGCAGAGAGATGCCCTTATTGAGTTTGCGGCGAGTGCTCTGCTGTCCCTCTCCGGGTAGCAGTGACGAGGTGGCGTCGGGAAGGCGGCGGGCAGGTCCTGGGCGGAGGCTGCCGAGTCGGTTTACTGAGACGACTGAGAGGGGTCCGTTTCTGGTGGAGGTGGTCACAATGCGGTTCCGGTGCCTCGCCTCCGGCTCACTGGTACACACGGTGCGTCCAAAGTCACTTCTGTATTTGACATTCGGCACAGGCACTCCACACAGTCCGTCCCGCCGGCGTGGGCGTCCTCGCGCCGGCAGATTTCCGGGTCACTCGGAGAGCTGCCGGCGAGAGAAGAGTCTTCTCTTTGCTACTCCCTCCTCTCCTGCCCCCCCCCCCCCCCCCCCGAGGCCGCGTTCCTCGCACGGGGCACATGGGGCGGGAGGATAGGAACGCCAGCGCCTGTAAGCGGCGCTCGCCAAACTACACAAACATCCACCGACTGGCACATAGGTGTTTTCTGACATCTTACATTTGCGTGGTGTGACCCGAAAAATGGGGATGCGTGAAAACCTTGCATTTGACGCACAGTTGAAGATCGTGATTTTGTAAAAAAAATTGATTGATTTGATTGATCTTGCAAACAAGCCAAACTGGATATATGCAAGCAGCTGAAGTCGCTGAGACTCTCGGGCTTGAACGTACCTGGTGCCCTTGCTCTGTGCATACATAGACATGATTGGGATGCCGGTAGTATAGTGGTTGACGCGTCTGCGTTAACCACCGCGCGTCTGGGAAACCAGAGGTACGGGATTCGACTCCCCGCGGTGCCCGCCCTCCTGCCAGGGTGAGAGGCAGGCGACGCCATATAGACTCGGCAGCTGAGTGCGTCGTAAAGCCCCAGTGACACATACATAGGCACGATCCAGATGTTGGTGAGGCAGGACATAGCCAAGGGTTTCCAGGTTCTGTGTAGCCTTGTTCACGCTTGATGGTTCAAAGTGGGCTCGGTTTTGGATGACACCTCAAAACCTCTTTAGGGGAAATATGGAAATATGGGTTTGGTACATGTGGCTAGACAATATCAGGTGGGAGTGGAAAAGGAGTGAAAAATTCCTCTCCAAAGGGTGTTGCTTTACACACGAAGTCCGCAATCCTAGGACACTGCCTGGAGGTAATGGGACCTTTTATGCTGCTGAGACCATATATCCAAGGCATATCTGTGCCGTTTTCCTCGCATCAGCTCAAAAATCGTTCGCGTTCGGTGTATTCTCAACATGGTCTGAGTAAGGTCCTGGAAGCCGCGACACTTCTTTGTGACGTCAGATGTGATTTACACAAGCACACACGAGCCAACAGATACCGAGGCATCACGCCAGATGTCACAACATACCCCTTTCGCGACGATCCCCCCCCCCCCCCCTGCAATCACATGTGGCTGCGGACGAGAAGTCCTGCGCAACACACCACCTGACATCGGGGAACAACAGCTGTTCTGCGGTCCCAACACACTGGGTGAGCACGCCCCCTCCTCAGTGCACCTGAAGAGACGCCGGTGAGACCGCGAAGTTTCGCAGCCAAGTGCAGGGGGGGGGGGAGGGTCGGGGGGCGTGCGACACTAACCGGGCCCAGCGCGTGTGAGCGACGCACGAGGTGCAGGCGCAGGCGTCCCTCAGATCATAGGCTCGCACCAGGCGTGCGGTGGTGGGGTGAGTGAGCGAGACGTGACGTGTTGGCCGGCGGACAGAACGATCAGGCGACGCGAGGGCTGGTACGCCGTGGATGCAGTGACAGTCATGAGGTGCTGGTAAGTAAAACATGTTTACGGAGCAAGTACAGCTAACGAAGGTGATCTCAGTTAACACTTACTGGATTGACATTTGTCGATTCCGTCATCCAAACGCTATCACAAAACGACGTATGTGGATTCGACTTAACTTAGGTAAGCTCTGCATTTAATAAAAGTAGTGTCTTCTGCAGACACATAAAATCATTTCACGTGCGCGTGAAACACACTAAGGGCACACGTTGTAAACTGTGCACGATTCTCTCGTAAGATTCGTGTAAAGAGGCGCAAACCACCATCCAATTCCTAGCTACAGCAGCCTAAAATCAGCGCAGTCCGCGGTCCTGGCGGAAGCGCGACACCTTAGCGCGTGCCGCATGTCATGTAAAACTTTGGCACAGATCACCAACCGAGCGGGGAAGGCGCCCGAGCCTCGCACGGCGTCTGCAGCCAGCTGGGACTGCTTACGAGGCGATGACGTCATCACAGGACCGCCACCGCCAGCCAGCCCCGGGCACCAGCTACCCGCCACCCCAGGACACGCCGGCGCGGCGGCGGATGGAGGGCGGCGTGGGCAGCGATGCACCGCCATGGGGACCGGCAGCCCCAGCTTACCAACGCCATCGAGTCACGCGGATGAACACTGTCCGTGGAAGGTCTCGAGCTGGCGCACGCTGCCGACGTCAGTCGGAGCCGTCCAGCGGAGGGGCGCTCTCGCCGTAGCAGAACTTCACCTTCGTGTTGCGGTAGACGTTCTGGTGGCGCACGCTCTGCGAGCTCGTGCGACACTTGGTCAGACACAGCTCGAAGTGGTCCGTCACAGACGAGAACAGCAGGTTGAAGCGATGTGAGGCCTTGCCCAGCACGCTGTGCAGAAGCGGCTTCTGGGAACGTCCATAAAGAGCGCGTGAAATCTCGAGCGGACCGCTGTTAGCACACTGTTCCAGACTAACCTTAGCGGAATAAATGGGCGGGAGACATTACATCAATGGGATCACCACTTAATGTTCAGGCTTACCGGCGCCCAAAAAAAGGTTGCTCTGTTCATTAATGGAGCTACATCGTTTGTCGCCCGCTACGAAATGCTGAAAGTGTCTTAGTTTTACATACGTGCTTTACTGCTTGACCAGTAGTATGCTGTGGCGCCCTGGTCCCGTCAAATTCAGCCAGCTGTGAGGCGCGTGCATATTCCCGTAGTGGCAAAGTGTATGAGATTACATCAGTGTGTCCTGCTGACTGCTTAAGTATTCTCCATGCAGAGACTTTAGGAAGCCCAACGCACTTACAAAATCCAAGAACATTGACCAAACTGACCCAATGCGATCAATGCAACTTGCCACACCACACAATACGCAAGACAACGTCCCCGGCATGGGTCCGCTGCGTAGGCACGTAAAATGTAACAGCAAATTCCACCACTGGCTGTTGACCAGGTCCAATTACGCGACATCACCTTCGCTTCGACGCCGACGTTCTCTCTCAGCCCTGCCTGCGTTCCGACCTCGTCTTTTACTTCGCTTTCTGCATAGTACGCCGATCCTATAGCGCATATAGCGCACTTAGCGCGTTCTTGTGCGCACGCCCCGCACCTTGTCCGGGTGCAGGCAGCAGGAGATGCAGTGTTCGTACACGCTGCAGCAGCCCTCCTGCGAGCACGACTCGCACAGGAAGCGGCGCGTCGAGGCCGCCTCCTGGTCGCAGCAGCCGGTCGTCTCCAGGTGCTGTCGCTCGCACACGTGACCTGCCGCCACGGGGGAGGGGGCGGAGCTGTCAGCGGTGGCCACGAGCACGGCCGCCGATGCAGGCTCTGGCCGTGTCACGAGACCCGGCTGGGCTGAGCGTCAGCACATGCCCCGCTGCATCGAGGTCATAGTTTTCGGTATCATACGACTTGGATTACGCTGGCTCGAGTGAACGTACCTATGATCTCCATTATGCTGTTTAGAGTGAGCGTCCACCCTCAGCTGCGACCCGATTAAAATACACTTACCAGAGGCTGCGGCCATACACAGAGCCCAGAGCTGCGTGATAAAAACTTACAAGCTGGGCACCAGTTGGGCGTACACCATATCTTTGACTGAGAAGGTCTTAGGATGGTGCACAAGATAGCCTGACCTAGTTACTCTGCCCCGACCTCGGCGTACGCCACCCCGTGGAGCGCATCCCACGCGCGGCTCCGGCCGCCCACCTCGATCGTCAGCGATGAGGGCGACGCCCTGCACAGAGTTGCGGCAGCTCAGACCGTGCGGGTCGGTGTCGGAGCTGTTGGCGCCGTCCTCCGGCTGCAGGATCAGCGCCGGGTCGATGGGCACCGGGACAGCATCGTCTGGGTCGCTGACCAGACCCAACATCTTCTGCAATGGTATGGGATAGATGTGTTTAGGAAGCTTTGCAGTCTGCTTAGAACATTCTGTGGCCTATGATGATCAGCAGATATTGGGTGATATTTGTATGCAAAGGTCTTTCAAACAGTTTCAAACTTATGTTTAACAGATGATGTGACAATTTGAATGCAGCATGTCTTTATTCAATTTAATGCAATAAATTAAAATAATAATTACTACATTTCTTTCAGCACCTTGTTTATATATTTAACTGCAAAAAAGAAAGTGTAGAACAGTTTACATGACTACAGCTCACAAAGTTCCTTGACACTGGTTACAACAATCAGGCTAAGGTTCAGGGAAAGTCTGCATCTCACAATCTGGTCTGCTCTTCAAGTAGGCTAGGTACCAACTTTTGAACAATTGGCTGCTAAACCTTCAGAATGACAGAGCTGCAAATATTAAATAGCAGTAGGGGACTAGTAAAGGATGGCAATACATATGTCTAAGCTTAATGTAATGGCCTGCATCAAATATCAAGTATATACATTAAAATCTTGTTCAGCACATGTCACCCTGTCAATAGCATGGGATCGCCATGGAATAATTGCATGCCCCTGGTCTGCACCTACCAAAAAACTGATCTGTCTTATAAGCGGATAGTTATGCCTTGAACTTCTTAATTAACAGTATTTACTCTTACTGGAGTCTGATTGCATCATATAGGTCTAAAAAGTTATTGCCTTCAGCTTGCTACACAGGATGTGAGTACAGCCTCATAGTGCTTTTGCTATTGCAGAGTTTAATTTGGAAGCTTTGTGGCTTAAGATAGACATGGAGATATTTATACTTCTGGCCTTCTCAATACATTAAGTATAGGAACAGCTCACTGCATCATAATACAGCATCATATGAAGGATTGCAAGAAGCATATGAAGGTCTCTATGATCCTATGAACATTTTGCAAATTCTGGGCAAACTAATATGATTATCATTTGCTGTCAAATCATCATTTTCACACACTTCCCCATAATGAAACAGCTCACAGAAAACATCCAAATTCGTGATGTCAGCCAGCATTTAAAGCCCTTACTAGCAATGACCTCACCTGATCAAATAAATTCACTAAGCAATATACCAGGGACAGTAACAATATGACAGCCAAGACAGGTGGCTTCCTTAGCAAGCGACAGAACTTCTGTCCAAGCCAAGCTATCATCTTAAGTAATGACTACATTTCACACGAAAACGAAAACCGAACCAGCGAATGTAATTCACACATATTTATGTCCAATTGCACCACAGCTATCCCCTGGCGCCCTCTCCTATTTCCGACCATAAACACGCTTGGTAAATCCAAAGCGCATAAATCGACATCGAAGTTTTTTGGCATTTTCTTAACATGGATAAATTAATTGTTTACGATGACGTCTTTCAATCAACTCTGATGCTTTACACACATCTTGTGTAAAGTGTATGGGATATTAAATTATTAAGGTGAAAAAAGCACTTATTTCAAGAGATTTTTTTTACTAAATTTGGTTAATTATGCAAATTGTGCAGACAAAACTTAATATCGAATATAAATGATGTCATCCAAAGCATTACCCATCGTTTTCAACTTTTTTTTTGCACAGAGCTACAAATATGACTGCTTAGGGACTTAAATTGCGCATTAGTAACAGTCGGTTGCCTGACCCCACGTTCTGCGGGGAAGTGAAGATGATGTCATGAGAGTTGCGTTGCACGGAAAATGAACGTGTAGAAGGTTCATTGGCCTCTGTCCTATTTCATCGAGATTGTTGCAAAATGGTTGTGTTTTTTGTGAATGTTGGTGCCAAAAAGATGCAATTGGAGCCATGCTTGTCCGAACAATTTGATAGTGGTTTAGCGAGTGTGCGCGAAACAAAGCCGTTAAGAGCAACAGGGCGACAGATATGATACAACTGATTTGGGTGGGAGTGCTCGGTTTGCTAAAGGAATATGAATCAGGTGGACCACATTTCCTGGCATCCTAGCATTTGTGGGGTCCTTAGTGAATGTAGTGCTGGATTCATGGACATGATCCTTATGGCATGCATGATGTGTTGCATGACTGTTTTAAGTGCTGGTTACTGTCCTAGTGGGCATTTAGTTCAGAACTTAGTAGCAATGAGTTATTAAACAGTTATATGACAATATTTCATGTTTCACAAAAGCTGAACACATCAAACATAGCAAAATCTGAATACATGTTTGCTTCAGAATTGTGAAAACAACGTAGTGCGATCAAGTTGAAATTAACACCCTATGTTGCATTTCAGATGGATGAACTCAACACAGTAGAGAGCCCTATTGTGGCTCTCACAGAAATCACAAAGGAAAAATTAGCATTGTTGCTCAATGGAAAGAAAATCTTACCATCAGATGATGGCTTTCCAAGGTGATTTGACTCAGATGTGATCAAATGTGATCAAGGGTTTATTGCAAACCCTTCTTCCTTCATTTAAGCTAATTTTAGGATCTACCAAATCATTTTGAGCAGATCTTACTTCTGTGCTTGTTTGATGAAATGGCTGAGGTAACAAAAATAATGTTTGGTTACACAGTCCTGTAAGATTCTTACTTAAGCACTAAACTTTTTTAGCAGTGCAGTTCAAAAATCACATCAGGCAGGTAGAATTAGCAGTATAAGATGATTTCTATCACCATTCATTAGCTGCATGACCTACAGCAGCTGATGTGCCCTAAGATGCCAAATCACCATTCATAGTTCATGATTATTGGGTGATTTCTGTCACCATTCATTAGCTGCATGACCTACAGCAGCTGATGTGCCCTAAGACACCAAATCACCATTCATAGTTCATGATTATTGGGTACCCCTCATATTTGTTCTCATATGTGCTCTGATTTTGTTGAAAGGACAAGACCTTGCGGCACAATTTTTTATGGTGATGTGTGGTCCACTCTGTGTCTGGCAGGCACAACAAATCAAACAAAAATATTTGATTCCAGAATAACATTGTAGCAGTTTTTATAATAACTGCTGCCTAGATGTGCAAATCTGTGTTTTTAGGTTTGTTGACAATATTTGCTTTATGGAGCTTGATTGCATGCTACCTTAAGTTGGTTATTTTTGTGTATTTTTGGGTGGTTTAACATCATTGAAAGCTTGCTTTTAAACTGGTAAAGACTTTGGTGTCAACCAACAATTCTGTACTTACTAGCTATTTTCAGCCCAATGCCATGATGCTACAGGTATTGTCAGATGAGACATCTTGATAACCTTTTGCCTGTGGTGGTGCAAAAGGTATATCATAACTCATGTGCATGAGGTGTGTTTGCTTATGATGCATCAATTATGCATGCTCTCCTGCATTTAGGATCCAAACAATCAAAGTTATGAACACTTCAGTAAGTTAGATTTTCTTTAGCAGTCTATTGTATGCCCTGGATGTGCAAACTTAAGTCTAAAAATCACCCAGTCACCCAACAGATTTTCAATGGACTCCTCCATGGCACTGAGCCATGTTGTATACCCTAGTCACATAAAACCAAGTCCAAAATCGCCCCACTGCCTGTGAGCTTCATGGCTCATCCTGTCTGCGGATCTGGACCGGGCGCGTCATGACCCCAACCGGCGCCGCCCACGCCGCAGGGACTGGCGCGGCGTGGCGCAGTGTCTGGACTGCGACAACGACGTGGTGCAGCAGCTGGGACGGTCGGCCAGTCCGACGGTGGCGCTGCTGGAGCGGTGCCGCGCCCGACCCGTGGCCGATCTCTGGCGAGCCCTGCAGGACGTCGGCCGGTGGGATGTGCAGGACGACGCCCGCTACATGATCGGTGGGTGCCGCGGGCCTGGCCTGGGCGACCGAATGTGGCAGGCTGGTGTCAGGTGTGGGGAGTGTGGCGGGAGTATGCGCCGCACTGGAATGTGAGGGTCATCTGGTTCAGGGAACAGGTCGTTGGGTGTCCCACTGCTGAGTCGATTTAAGGTATGTCTGAAATTGGCTTGATCTGTGTGTGCATCTAGATATTCACTAACCAAACTGTTGAGTGTTAGACTGTGCTTCTTGCCATCCCATCTAAGTTTTAACAACGACAGCAACGTTTCCCCGGGTGACGGTTCGTGTCGCGCCGCGCCGCTGGTACGTCAGCGGCGTGCCGCTGCCCTGATGAGCTCGAGCTGCTGGTGACCGGTGGGCGGCTCCGGCAGAGGACGACGTGAGGCTGTACCAGGAGCGGCTGAGCTCATCCGCCGCTACCAGCAGCGCCGTCTCCCTGCTGCCCGGCCTGGACGACGCTGACCTGCTCTGCGTCGGTTAGTCCGTCGTGTCGGCTGTCTAATCATCTGCTACTAACTACTGTGTGCACCGGGATGTGTTGCGTCGCTCTCGTCTCAGGCACGTGTGGGTGCGATTTCATGTCACTCAGACAGAGATCTGGGCGAGCCTAACGTCGGTGCTTGGAATGCTGTTGCTCGTGAGCAGCCTGACATATGGCATGCCATTTTTTGCCGAAGGTGATGCCGAATGTCTGCGCGCCGGCCGGCCGCTCCCCACCTTCGATGCCTTCCTCCTCTACGACGACGGTGACACCGAGTTCGCAGCGCAAATCATTGAGCGTATGGAAGCCAGGGGAATCAAGGTACGCCGAGCTGGGTCAGGTGCGGCTTGTTTGAAGCGCTTACGTGATTTGCTCCGGTATGACCGTACATTTCGCGCGTGTGCATTACGCTGCAGAAATTGGGTTGCAAGAAGCAGAAAGCATCAGTGCAATCTGCCAGGGAACTTTACGTACAGGCTGATGTAATAAGGGACTTTGGTCTCAAGTATGTAAACAGTTTGAAAATAGCAGAAATATGCATGCAGGTTAGTTCCATACAGAACTATAGCAGCACTTCGGTTCGATACTGCCGACACGTAGCAAAACACGAGGCGGTGGCCAGCTGGTGGCGGGGAGGGGGGGGGGGGGGGGGGAGCGAAAGACCAAGTGTTGTATTGTAAGTAGTACTTTCGAACGGTTTATGCAATAATGCATGCGATTTTGCGGAATCGCCGGGCGTATATGTTAACGAGACCTACCAAATTTTAGTGGTATCTAGATGGTATTGCTGTGACTGCGAATGCCGTTCCAAGGATTAATCTTTAAATTCCACCAAGGAAAGTATGCGCTCAAACTTACCGCTATTCTGTGCAGCTTGATTACATAAAGCACTTCGAGGCACTTTTTCCCGGCGTGTGGTCGTTTCCGCTCATCCGTCGCTCTTCGCGTGATGTTAACTGCTGCGGCCAACGCCGCGCCGCCGAAGAAGACCACCGCCGGTTGAATGGGCAAAAGTGCGCTCTTATGAATAAGCCAAGACTCAATTATAAGTTGTCATATCTTAAGGTATATAGATCTCCAAAACGTATGCTTACACCGGAAAATATTTGAACCAGGGTTGAGGTCTGAAACCTGCGTTTCGGCCCACAATTCGATGTGCCCTGGCTGACAGTGGCACCGACACAAACACAGTCCGGTGTTCGAGGCACATAACGTACCGGCTGGCTTCTTGCGGGCGACCTCACTAAAATAACATGGGGCTCGTTCCGCATGGTCTGGCCGCAGTGAACAGCTTGCGTCTGCGCAAAATGCGCAGGCTTACGTCCTCAATGCCGGCTGCGCACTTCAGCGGTTTTACCACCTGTCATCCTGCATGTGTTTAATACCGGCGTCAAAAGTTCATCAGGAGTTGAACACCCGGCCTCCGGTACGAACTTTGATGGAAAAAGCGGAGGTTTGCACGTGGACGCACACCAGCCTTGATGTTTTCATTGACACGTGATCGGAGAGTGACGTCCATGATTGTGACCCGTCCGACGTCAGCTTCACGGCTGGTTCCGTCCGTGCTGCTTCTGAATTGGGGGGGGGGGAGGGGGAGATGGTCACCTCCATTTCAGTCTGCGTCGTGAATTGAAGGGGATCGGTCCGACAATAAGTGACCTTCAATATATCAGGAAGTACTGGGGAAACGACGGGGGTCTCGCTCGGTTCTCCAGGGTTTTTCATACAAGAGTGCAAAACAATACATAACTGCAGGCATGAACAGTGAAATGAAGAAATTTCCTCTACATGACTTAATGCATTTTTTCTAAAATGGTGGGACAAACGTTTTGGCAACGCCACGCCCGCGAACCTATCTCTGCGAAATAGCAAGGATTTACCGCCTTTTTGCGGACGTGTTCTTGTTACATGTCATCTGCAACAATACCGATATCCGTTTGCGCAGACCGTTGCCTGTGAGGCTATAAGAGATGCGATTTAGCCGGCGTCTGCGCATTGTGGACGGACATTGCCAGTGTTATATCGCCGCCTGTGAAGGCGTTTCGTAGCCTCGCTTGCCGGGTGCTGCCCGAGCGTGACGCCCTGACTGTGCTGACCTCTGCCGGCCAGCTGTGTGATAAGGAGCGCCACCTTCTGCCCGGCGTGACGTTCGAGCACCAGGGCATCATCCGGCTGATGGAGACGCGCTGCCACCGCGTGCTGGCCGTGCTATCGCCGCAGTTCCTCCAGTCGGCCGTCAACAAGTTCCTGGCCATGTTCGCGCAGGCGCTCGGACTGGGTACGGACTGCTGGAGACGGAGGGGTCCGGTGTGTGGCCGCCGTGGGGACGTGGGTGTTATGGCAGAGGCTTCACACTGAGAAACACATCTTTGGGTGCGTCTTTGTTGGGTTCTGTTTCCTCACGTAGGTGTTATCCGCGCATACTGTAGGTGGTGATTTGTGTACCTGCAGTTATGAGAAAATTAGGAAGTTATCACCCCCGCTCTGGCTGGTGTAGAAGTGACTAGATGTCACGGACGTTTTGATATAAAAATCCGTTATATCAACGGCACCTCGGCAGCATGCGCCATCGGCGGCCATCCAACTGATGTAGATATTTCCCGCAAATGTCGCCATATGAACGGACTCTGCCGCCACCTCCACTCTGCGGGACCAGGTCGCGTGTTTCTGGGCGGCCGGCGCGCCGTGCCTCTGCGCGGCTGTGCGGCTGGTGTACAGACCGTCGGCTGACCACCGCTCCGTGGCCGCTGCAGACAAGCGCGGTCGCATGCTGCTGCCGTGCGTGTACCAGAAGTGCACGCTGCCGTCGTACCTGATGTACTGCTCTCGGCTAGACTTCACGCGCGGCGTGGGCCTCGTCAACGCCTGGGACAAGATGTACGAGACGCTCAGTGTCGCCATGGTCACCCGCACCAGGTACCCACTAGCCGATTGCCGCGTCTGTGGTCCGACCATGGCTTGAGGCGCGTGTCGGCTAGCTTTCAGCTGGTTATCTTGTTCCCCAAGATCTGCCGTTTCACGAGTAGGCACTCTCTCTATTTTTAAGGCGGCCATTCACCATTGTTCATATTCTTTTAGATAATACAAGCAAACCGTTTGTTTAAATCGTCGTGGTGGCGTTGCGTATGAGACGTATGCGCGATGCAAACGGCGGCGGTGAGATCGTACATAGCTACAGAAGATGGTTCTCCGACTGCCTCCAGTTGCTGTTAATGATGGGGTCCTGACCGCCAGGCGTGTGGGGCAGTAAGTGCTGTCAGAAGTCCACGTCCCGCCCAATGTGTCCGGTGTTCGATGCTGCGCCGTGCTGTGTTGGCGACGCTCCGTGCCAGCCCCCGCCACTAGCCTAGTCGTGCCGCCGCAGGTCAGCGTCTCACTCCGTGACGGACGCGCTGCCGGCGCCGGCCGCCGCCAAACCTCGCAGTGACTCGACGCCGTGCTGCGCGTCGACACCGCCGGACGACCCGCCCGCTGCCGAGACGTCGGCCGGCGAGTCGTCGTGGTCGGGGCCGCGCCTTCCTGCGCAATCTCAAGAGCCGCCTGCGTAGCTCCGAGAGCGCGGACCCCGCCGAGCAGCAGGTGGGCGGCGAGGGCCGACGGAAAGGCCGGCCAGGAACGGCGCGCACACCCGCCCCAAGCTCTTCACTGCCAAAGACAAGCAGAAGACGAAGGCGAAGCGCGAGAAGAAGAAGGAGGCGAAGGCGCTGATGGCCGCGTGATGTGACTAGCCGCCCGGCCACGGACGGGCGCGGTCTCGCAGTAGGCGCTGTGAGGCGTGAGCAGGGAAGGGGAGGGGGAGGCACGGGATGACTTCGGACCGATCTCTGCTCCCCGAGAGGCGGCCCACTGGCCGCCGAGTGATGACTCCGGCGGTACTTGTTGACGTGGCGGTGCCGTTCGATTGCGTTTTGTTTTAGTGGAAATGTCTGCTGTCGTAAGGTAGAAATATTACCACCGGATATGCGTGCATTTGTTATGGAGAGAGGCGGCAAGTCACTTTGTACTGAAGCATCGACTTCAGCTGATTTGTGCAACTGCAAGGCAAGGGATGTCGTTGCCACCGGTCCTGGGGAAGCAGGCGTGCTCTGGTGGTTGCCACGAACAGTTGGACATGTGACTATTTTTAGGTTGAACGGGTGGCGGTCTCTGCACAGACTGCACTGCAGACTGCACCCACTCACGACGTTCGGCCGCCGCTGCCGCCTCGGTGCTGACTCCGAATAGGATGGTGTCCGCGGGATCTAGTCAGCGGGACTGCGATTTGGACACCAGATGGCAGCACTGCGCTGGTGCGAGGTGTGATCGGGCGGCAAGCCGCGGATCCGTGGGCCGACTCCTGTGATGAACCCGGGGCCCAGCGATCTTTCGGAGGCACTGGCCTGTGATTTGTGGAACTGCTGAAGTGGCACTCGACTGCAACCGTTAGAGGTTTGTTAAATCGGCAGGTTTCGACATGTTTATAAGATCAATAATGTTGAAATACATAATTTTTTGTACCAAGACTTTTATTGGGATCAAGTTGGTGGGAATCGCTGGTGAGCGCCACTGACATACTTATGTCGAAATAATCGACGGACAGGAAAGCAAAGTTACGTTGTGGCTGACGAACTACTACAATGATGCTGGATTTAAACCCCAAAAACGATTTTGACAACTCCTTTTACTGGTTGAAGAATTGACGCCAAAGGTTGCATGACCAAAACCACGTTTGAGAGGATGGTGCGTGGCAGATTTAGGCTCAGGGCGGACCATTTTCTGTGGCCACTAGTTAACCGAAAGGTGGACTTCGAGCAGGCGCCCTCCCATGTCGGTGTCCGGAAGAGCCTCCGATTGGACAGCGCAGGCCTGCTCCGCGGCTTCTCACATAAACGGCAGGGATCGTTCGCAATACCAGCTGACCTGACCTAGCCCGTTTCTTCAGGAGGGCGGCTGTGACCCAAGTGTTCTCTCGCGACCTGACTCGAGGCCCTAGATGGGCGGCAACGACCTAGGCCCCACGCCACCCCCCGTCCGAACGCGTCGCGGGCGTTGTCGGCGACGCAGCCTCGTCTCGGTTCGGCTCGGCCGGCGTCGCCTGCAGCAGCGACCGCCGTCCCACCGGCGGCAGCGAGGGCGTCTTCCTGACGGGCACCTCGGCCTCGGGCGCCGCTGCCGAGCTCAGGCCCCCCCGACGGCCTCTGCGCGGCCGCCGATCCACTGGGTTTGGCGGGCAGCGCCGTGGTTCCGCTCCGCTCCTGAACGGGGTCAGACTGAGACCCGCGCCGCTCCTGGGCAGCGTCGGGCAGGTGCTTGTCGGAGCCGCGGTGCTCGGCGTCACTTTGCGGCACTTTGAAGAGGGTTTGGTCCTGCTCCTGCGACTGGCGTTGCTCCTGCCGCATGGAGAGGCGCCGTTCCAGCCGGTCCGTCACCTGCAGGCTGGACGGGTCTGCCCAGGTCGATGTGTCGATCGTCGCTGCCGAGCAGAATCAGTCAGACAACGCATAGCCGGGCCGTCTGCTGTGCTTTGCCCGAGTTCGCATTTGCATTAGTGGGTGCATTTGTGCGGCTCCGCCCGGGTGCTACAAAGTGAGTATGCACAATGCTAGTGGCGTGTCTGCCGATCGGAGACTGCATCGACACGTAATCATCCCATTCTGGAGAATCACCCGAGCCTGAATGTTTTCAGTTGTACGTTTGTCACGATATAGTTGCCAAATGTTATACGATATGGTTTTGTTCTTGTAGTGGGACAAACTGGAGCATATCAATTTGATTTGTATATCCAATTTTGACAACGTTGATACTGAAACAAAAATAGACGTATCCCCTATTGCCGGGAAACATTTCCTCGCGCTCGAAATTTTGAAACATAGAGACGGAGCTGCTGCTTCTACAACAATCACTTTTCCAACTGTTCACTGTCTGCGCATGCAAACCTCCGCGCCTGAGTTTGTGCTTCAAAGGCAGCGCGTATCTTATTTGGACTATGACATGTGCTATTATCATCACTGGGAACGTATGTCATTTGTCTATCTGTGGTCTGGTAGCATTTGTTTCTTTTACGGAAGTGCGCATCGCTCAACTGTGGAATGTAATGTTTGCTTATATTGTGCAATTTTCAATTCGTCGGAGGCACATTAAAGTTGCGGACTAGCTCTCCAACGTTTGCGGCGACGGACGGCAAAGCTCGGCTTAGGCTATTGACCTCGTATGCTTAAGTCAAATGCGGTGGACACTAAGCACATTAGGCCATCGATGATCAGGTGCGATTTAACCGCAGAGTTCACTGGTACTTACGTTGTGTAGAGCATCGTTCAGTCAGGTGCATAGCATTTGCAATGAGTTCCTGTAAGTGTGCATCGATGTAGCGGTCTAAAATGGTCTCGTAAGTAAAACTCTCTTGGATGTGTACCTGGAGCTTGCTGCCACCACAAACGTTTCCCATGGCTGTCAGACTCGGTGGGATTTTTCCTCAATGCCGCACGCATAATTTTGTAACTGAAAGTGGTTGTCGCAACCACCAAACATCTTGAATAGGGCTCGTGTCCACTGAGCACATTTCCTCACGCGGCAATTTGTGACCACATGTCCCGAGGTTTGGAGGACGATTTTGAGCGTCACCGGTCATCAAACGCTATCTGTTCAGGGAGTTCGACGCCTTGATTTCGATGATTCACTTCGTGCAAAGCCTGGCCGGGATCTCCTCGTTTCGACACGGTGGCTCGGCACACGCCACTGATTGGATTGCGTTGCATAACCTGATGCCGGCAATATCCAATGACCAGCATACCTACCTCCGCGGAGCCTGATGGCATCAGACCAGCGGCGGTGAAAAGGCTTGCAGAATTAAAGACCGGTGGTGAGTTGCAGCAATCATCGCCGCGTGTCGATTCTACCTTCTGATAAGGGCAACCGCAAGATATACAATGAACCCAAAATTGAACGGTATTTGCGGTTTTGAATGTGACAACACATCAGGCCCGCGCATAGCTTGTGTTATACTTCGGAGAAGTCTAGCAGCTCTAATCCATTCCAACTCCCGGTGTGACCGGCCTTGTCTGCGCTCATGTGCTCTAACGCACCAAACCATCAGACCAGCAGACCAGACCGTCAGATCAGGCCGTCAGACCATCCTGTGTTCTAACGCACCAGACCGTCGAACAACTCGCCGTCCCACGGCTAGCTCTCGGTTTACGGCACCGCTCATCACTCGCCATTAGGCCGCCAATTTCGGCCGGCTCGTGACGCCGCGGGGACGTATTGACAGATCACCGTGAAGGGGGAGGGGGGGGGGGGGGCTTGCCTCACCGCGAGTGCCGTCATCACGGCAGCGCCCAGGCGGGCGACAGTCCGCAGGGCCCGCGGGACCGGGGAACGCCAGCCCGCGGGGCACGGCTGCGTTCACACGCGTGCCCGCCGACCACTGGGAGACGGGTGAAATGGTGGACACGGCAGCCAGCCTGCGCCCAGCTGCGGCAGAATGACAGCGATTCGGTGAAAGGCGCAGGAACTCCGCCTCGGCGACGTCCGGCGGTCTCCGAGGCGGTTGCGAGAACGGCGACGCTGACATTCCGTTTAATTACAAACCTGCCGACCTAGCACGCCGTTTCAGAATTTGCACTTCATCCGAGCACTAATTAGAGGAGGTGAAAATTATTATGAAAATGGAATGGCAAATATGTAAACTCAGGGATGTACCGCACCTGGATACTGCACAGATTGACTCCACCGCTCCGTGCATCTGAACAGAATGTGTTGAAAGTGTTCGAACCCGCTATCCATGTTGGAAGTAAATTTTGAATAGTGACATTTTTTCTTCGTCCCTGATGAAAAGGAACAGTTTACTTTTTCTGTTGCACAACGCTACGACGCAACCACAACGTGTGAGGTGCACCTTCTCTGGATTGCTGTCATGTGGCTCGCCGAGCTAAACTCTCAACTGACCAGACGGAACGGCAGCCCCGGAGCGTCCGCGACTCGTTCAGTGACAGAAATACGACGCCGTCCCACGGCCGCCGCCGGCGAGTGCGACCGTGGTTGCTGAGCGACGCCACATTGACGTGTCATCCAAAACCGGCCGTCACACCGACATGCCATCCAAAACACATCGACATGACAAACCCGACCATCATGCTGAGGTGGCAGCCAAACACTGCCTTCAAAATCACGCCCGGCACGTCTAGCTGCACCACGCGGACAGCAAACCCCGGCGTCCGCGACACCCGCATCCGGTACGCGCTGCTCGGCGCGCCCCGCTCGGCCCGAAGAGGCGTCTGTGTCAACAGACAGGCGGCGGCGGCGGCAGCTCGGGTCAGCGGACGGCCGACGGCTCGTCAGACGGACGGGCCGCCGCCGCCGCCGCCGCCGCCGCCGCCCACGCGCCTCCCGCGGCCACTCTCCGTGGCCGAGCGGCTGAGGCGGTCGGCTCTAGCGACGCATCAGATCGATATGAGGCTGAGGCTGAGGCGCTAAGACAATGGCGGAACGGACATAACAGCTATGTCTCCTTCACTGTGTGAGGTGTCTGGTGGTATACGTGTCATGCCAAAATGTGAAACAAGTTCCCGCCTCTTATCAACAGAGTTGTACTGTTTTGGAACATAATGAGCTTTTGGGGTTTGATGTTTAGAAGACTTCACGGACAAGCTAAACCAATAAGTACCCATATGGCATGGGTAACGGGCCGAGTTGGTTGTAGATTTTGGGAAAATTACTGGTATGGGTACGGGTGGGGTAAAAT